TTTATTTTATTTTTTTCAGGCCAGGCTGGCTTGCTGAAAAGCCAACTTTTTAGGGTGCGCCGGAAGGACCGGAGGTCGGAGATTATAAGAAGCTCTGAGGGCAGCTCATTCCAGAGGGAAGGCTCTCCCACAGAGAAGGCTCTCCCCCTGGGGGTCACTAGCCGACACTCTCTGGCTGACGGCACCCTGAGGAGGCCAACTCTGAGGGATCGCACTGGACGGGGGGAGGCTACTGGTGGCAGTAGGTGGTCTCGCAGGTATCATGGGCCTAAGCCATGGAGTGCTTTAAAGGTCATAATTAGTACCTTGAATTGCACCCGGAAGACAACAGACAACTAGTGCAGGACGCCTAAAAGGGGCACAACATGGGAGCACCTAGGTACCCCCATGATAACCTGCACAGCCCCATGTAGATCCTAACCCCAGGTTAGGATCAAGGCAGAGATGAGTGGAAAACGGTTTTCAGTTGCCACTAGAATGTTTCAAATTCTGAGTCTTCCCTTTTGGTCTCCACGGGGGCCCTGTTGTGTTCATGCAGATAAGAAACAAAGTGCTGCATGAGCACCTGAAAAGGGAGAGCTAGTCTACCGGATGATGCTTTACTCTACACTGAGAAAATGGCAGAACATATAAAACTAGTAAGCTGTGATCGAAAAAACTTTGAGTGGCCAAACTATATGCCAAGTTATCAAAATGTGAATTTCATCAGAGTAAAATTAATTACCTGGACTACTGCATTTCCCACGAGGGATAGAGATGGACCCTGAAAAGGTGCAGGTAGTATTAGAGTGGACTCGTCCCTGCACCTCGAAGCAACTACAATGCTTCCTGGGTTTTGTGAACCTTTGCCACCAATTCATTCCCTTGTTTACCCAGATGGCCCTCCCCATCATCAACCTGCTAAAGACAAAAGGAGAGGGAAAGTCCAAGCCCAGCCAGCCACTTAAATGGACTATGCAATAACAAGCCACATTAAAAAAACTTAAGTGCCTGTTTGTGGCGGAGCCGGTGTTGAAACACCCAGAGCCCAATACTCCCTTCATCATTCAGACTGATGCCAATGATGTACGTAGCAGTGGGCATGGTTTTTCTGCAGGAAAAAAAGCATGGGATCCTACAGCCATGCGCCTGCACTTTTACATAATTTAACGAGACAGAAAGTGGAATGGGCAGTTTTGGGGAAGGAAGCCTATGTGGTGCACTGGGCTCTCTAACTTGGAGCCATTTCCTAGCAGGAGGGAAAAACCCCATTTGAAATATGGACTGACCATAAGAATCTGGAGGCACTAACCCCAACCTACTCTGGAGGTTATTGCTCAAACAAGTTTGTTGGACTCAGTACTTTAACTGCTTCCTCCCAGGGGGACGAAAAATTCATAGTAGATGCTTTATGCAGTCTGTTGCAATACAATAGTTCAAAGCCAGAGGTGATTAGGGTAGTTATCCACTTCCTGGGCACAGGCCAAAATGAAAACCAAAATATCCAGTGATCTAAAGGGTGTGCTAAAAGCAGCTTTGGAGGAAAAGAAAGGGTGAATGTACAATGTAAGATGGTCTAGCTAGAGTAGGGGCCAAGCTATACATACCATAGAGCCAACAGTTAATGGTTAACAGTTAACACAAAAGCCATGAATCAAAAGTGCTGGGAGACTTCAGCTTTGTAAAAACTCTACACCTTATCAAGTGGCAATTTTGGTCCCCATCACTGAAGAAGGTCATAAGGAGTTATGTAGCTGCCCTATTTGTGCCTCCACCAAGAAGTGACAAGTGATTCTCCAGCCAATAGCAGAACCTAAAGCCACATGGAAAGAGATATCAATGGATTTTATAGTAGAACTGCCCGAAAGTTCGGGCAATAGAGTAATTTGGGTGATAACTGACTTGTTTTCCAAACAAGTGCACTTTATACTCTGTCAAAAATATCCCCTCTGCTCGCACATTGGCTAAGCTTTTCATGCAGCACATCCACCAGCTGCATAGTGCTTTAGCAAGAATAATCTCAGATTGCAGAGTCCAATTCATGTCACAGTTTTGGCAGGAGTCCCTAAAACTCTTGGGGACCACTCGGGCTCAGCTCCTCGCATCATCGGGCTACTAATGGTGTCTGTGAATGTAAAAACGGGTGTTTCATTATCTGTTGGAGCAGTATCTCAGTTGCTACATTAATTACTAACAAGACAATTGGGAAAACTTTTTCCTTTTCACTGGAGTCACCTAGAATAATTCAACAGCACCAGGTTAATTCCATTTAAAGTGGCCACAGGACAGGACTTTGTATCCATTCCTGAGGTGCCTTAGGCCCCCCCGATCACTGAAAGAGTAGGTCACCCTACTACAGAATATCTGGCTGGTAGCCAAGGACTTTATAGTGGGAGATAAGGTCTATGTATCTACCAAATTCTTACAATCTAGACCACTGTCCAAAAAATTGGGCCCAAAATATGTTGGACCTTTGTTAAGTATATCTCCTTTTGGGGACTAGAGTTGAATAGCAGAAGGTAGCAAGGAATGTGCTGCTGAATAGTCACACTATCAATCACAGCCACCCAAGTTAAAACAAGGATAACTTTACTTGTGTTAACAAAAATAAAGTAGGATAAACATTCTCTAAAACAAGTGATAAGTAGTCTTGAACTATATACACAGCCTATGACACAACATGTTGGTTTACAGATGCTCAACTCACGATTCACCATGTAGACAGGTAACTNAGTTAGACTTATATACCGCTTCATAGGGCTTTCAGCCCTCTCTAAGCAGTTTACAGAGTCAGCATATTGCCCCCAACAACAATCCGGGTCCTCAATAATTCGAATGCTGCAGGAATGTAATGGTCACCTCTTTTCCTGAGGAATGTAAACATAGTAGATGAAGACCTTTAAGCATTTTCAGCAACAAAGTCACCATAGGGATTCTAAGTATTGTCAGAATGAAGGACTACACCAAGATTTTTAAACCAGAAAACCTGCTCAAATTTATTGCCATCTATCATCCAAGAGTGATTTTGGGGCCTTTAGGCAAATGACAGGATTTTGATTTTCTGATAGTTCACGATAAGTTTTCCCATTTCATCAAATTAACTTCTACTGAGTATTGATAGCTGTCTGTGTGTTCTTCTTTATCCTTTTGTTTTCTTCAGCTGCCCACTTGTAATGATCCGTTCTCAATGCAGACATAGAAGAATCACATATTCTTATTTTTATTTTCTTTCCAACAGATATAAGTTTACCAAAATCAGCAACAATATGCTACACAGCTGCCCTTCTCAAAGCCAGAGCTGTGTCTGACAAGTAAGTCTGGAAAAATTCCTGCGTGCTCAAATTTTACTCTGTTAAATATGGCAAAACATTTTTCATAGTTGAAGGTTATTTATCCTGGCAGTAAAGCATCAGGCCTGCCATAAGTCTGCAATATACTACCAAGAATGGATACCGTGGGGACAACAATGAATTCTATATTGTTTAATTGGGGAAAAAACAGCTAGCCACTTTCTTTCTGCAAGCAAAATAAGTTTGAATGCCATAAATGTAATTCTGGCAATGGAGTTTTAACCAGCAGAATAATAAGTGTGGTATGGGACTGGGAAGGGGCTAAACTTTATTTGAGGCAGATAGACCAAGTGCTTATGGCATAAGAATTCCTGGCAGGCAAGTGATGTCCTTTTAACTTGTATGTGAAACATAATTGTGTGCAGCTGTGAAAGGTGTCATATGGTTGCTGTCAAAGCACAGCACCAGACCCGAGCCAGGGTCTGATCAGAGGTGGAAGTGAGCCAATCCCCCAAGCAGTAGACATCCCACCATCACCATGCTTTCTGAATTCAGCCGAGTGGGGGTGGAGCAGGCCGCATGGGAAAGTCTGCTTTCCTTCCTGCTTTTTTCAGAGAGTTTGCTGTTGTAGTGTATGTGCACTTCAAGACCTGAGTAATTTTTTTTCTTTCATTCTTTTTGTCCTGTAGATCGCCAGTACCAACTGCAACATCTTTCCTCCCTACACAGCGACTCCAGCTTGGGAGGGCAGGGCTAGGTTTGTCACAGCTTTCCCTGTGGTGGCTGCCTGCCAAGTACAGCTATGGAGTTAGCCGTGGGGTGTGAGGTGAGAAAGAGATTGCATGGTCTGGGTATTTTTTTCCCCCATCTTCCACTCTCTGGGGCAGATAATATTTGCCCTCAGTTTGGGTACATGGTCAGGAATGGATACAGCTGGGAGCAGATCTCCTGCTGCTGCACCAGGCTTTCAACTCAACTTGTCTCAATGGCATTGGGTTGAGAAGTCCTGAAGCCATCCTAAAATGTAATTTATAAATTTACTGGGATTTTTTTTTCTCACACCTCCCCATGCCCCCCCCTCCCAGCCTGGAGATTTTGGTCCAGATTTTAAAAGCAAACACATAAAATAAATTTAGATTAGCAGGCAGACAGAAACAGAACATGGACTGCTTGAACATTATTGTGATAAGTTTCAAACATGCTTTTGACTTCTGCTGAGATTTTTAATATCTCTATAATTTAGTTGTTTGGATGGGTTTTTTTTGCCATGGAGGTTTGATAAGAGCTAAGGGAACGGGCTCAGCTGATTTCAAAGACCCCTTTGACTTAGTTCTTCCTTTTATGTTTCTTGGCGATGCCAAAATTAATCTTCATGCTTCTCTTCTCTTTCTTCTGTGTAGGTTTTCTCCAGAGGCAGCTTCAAGAAGAGGACTAAGCACAGCAGAAATGAATGCAGTGGAAGCTATTCACAGAGCAGTAGAATTTAATCCACATGTGCCAAAAGTGAGTTGTTGTGAATCTCTATTACTATTTGGTATAAGAATCAAAACTTAATTGCCAAATGGTGTCTCCTCATATGAAAAAAAAATCCAATCCAGTCACTTAGAACAACGTTCTCTTTTGTCTCCGACTTTTGCCATCTTTTCTCCTCATTCATAATTAATTTTTTGGATGTCCTCTATATTTCTTGTCGTGCTTTTAATCAAATATAATGTTGACAGAAATATGCACACAACTTTTGATTATTGACATGTAGCATTAAGTTGGGAATAAAATTCAATTCTCTTGGTTTTTCTTCTGAATAAACATGGGTGAGCTTGTCAGCGTAGTTTTAGACAGCTCTTGGCTTACTCATAAGATTTAAAGAGTTCAATAGAGATTTAAAAAAATACAATCCCATAGTTGAATCCTATCTGCTGGGCCAGTGATCACCTGCCATTATTGGAAGCCAAAGTAGTCATAAGTTATTTTTCAGGGAGGAACTTTGGCAAAACAAGAAGGATGTGGCCGGGGAAGAATGTGACTTCATTTTAACAATCATAGGATCAGAAATGAAATAGGGATGGATACAATATGGCAAACAATGAAGAGAAGAAATTGTAGTTGGCAGTCAGGTTTCATTTTAATTTCCCAAAGTGGTGTTTAGAGAACTTCCAAGATCACAAATCTCTCCATTCTCAAGATCTTGGCTCGCACTGGATTCCATCCCCTTTTGGATGGCTATTGTTACAGCTAAAATGTATTTTGATAAATCTTGTGTTTTTAGTAATAAATCATTTATCTAATGTGATGCAGCTTCTTGATGCTGAAGCTTTTGCATTGGGCCAGCATTTGTAAACTCACCTGCTTGACATATATATAAAATAATTTCTGTGCAATTGTATTTTTCCCTTTTTTTTCTGTAATACAATCTTCCAGGTCTGTCTTCTGTCTTTGTCACTCAGTTGCACCAACTACAGTAGCCCAAATCTTCCCATAGATCTTTTTAAACCTCAGGATCTGTTTTTTTTTTTAATTTGAGTAATACTTCCTGTGTTCCTCCTCTTCTTTCAAACTTTTATGGGACTTTCCAGCTTTAGCTATTAAGACTTTTCACAAGTGATGGGTATTTTTTTTTTCATTTCCTTGTTCTTTTAATCAGAATGTAAAACTCTTTTAGGTGGCTGGTCAATTCAACTAGAAATGTGAATTTAAAACCTCTGCTCCATTATTCATGTTACATAAGTAAGAGTCAGAATTTCACAATGTGAGTTGTTCTGAAATTTACTTATAAAGCTATCCTTAAAAGGTTTGTTTGTTGTTCGTTTTATATGCTGGCCTTCATACTGCAAAAAGAAGAGGGGAATTAAAGTGCTTCACTAACACTATTTCCTTTTCTGTATTTGACCCATAATATAGTTTAGAAGAAGACTCAAAATATGTGAGATTGAGATAGAGATTTATTAGATTTATATGCCGCCCTTCTGTCTTCTCACCCAGAATTTTTCAAGTTTTGTGCATGTTATCATGATATGTTTTTTTACGAATTACGATATTACATCTCTGTAAACCACCTGGTGTTGTGGAAATGAGTAGCATACCATATATATAAGCAGCAAGTACACTGAGAATAAATATGGTGAGAAGTCAAAGCTCAGAACCAGTTTGCACCAGCATCCAAGGCCAGGAACCCTGAGAAAGAATATGGATTACCCCAAAACATTTCAGCATTCTCAAAACACTTTGGCGCGTTCCGATTGGCTGAACACAGACTGTTATGGGGGACGGGGGGGGGTCGGATTAAGGGAAATTTTTCTGTATCTTTTGTTTGCAGGAAACCCCGAGCTAGCCTGACTTTACTGCAGCCATGGTCCCTCGGGAAAAAGGAAGAGTGGGAAGAGAAGCCCAAGGGAGAGACACTTACCCCGGCTATAGTAGCAACAACAGTGCAATGGAGAGACACTAGCCCTGGGCTTAAAGTTCAACAGAGACCCAAAGAAGTTGGGGTTCTTCCTAGTGCATGTCTGGTCATACATGCAAGAGTATGGTCCAGAAATGGCCACCAAAAGGGCCAAGGTGCAGTGCGTGACCATGGCATTGGAGGGTACCACAGATGAACAGATAGTCATCCTCCACAACGATGCCTCAGAGATGAGAAACTTTGACTACTTCATGGCTACTCTTTGGAAGACCTCTTAGCCGATTGCAAAGCCAGAGACCACATAAAAACCATCAGCCAAGGGAGCAAGGAAGAGACTGAGTACACCCAAGAGTTTTGCAACCTGGCCTGCTAACTGGCCAGAAGATGGTTCGGATGCTTCTAAGATGGGTTAAGCAACAAGGTCTACAACACCTGTATCTCCAGGGCTGCCCCCCCACACCCTCCATGGCTGATATGTCCTAGCAGAAGAAGTAGAAATTGACCTGGCACAATCCAAATACTGGCTGAGCCCTGGGTAGTGAACATCCTTCCCTGAAACAAAAGAGGTCCAAAACCGCCAGCATTTGAGCAGACCGATGATTCTCTGGCTGCTTCAGGTGTGGGAAAGAGGGGCAGTCAGCTGCTGACTGCTGAGCTTCATACACAACCCAGAAGGCAATTTTGACTCCTGCCAAAAAAAATTGCAAAATTGCCACAGAGAATGCACAAGACAGTCCTGAAGGGAATAGAGGTTGTAGAGTGCACCCCATCCCCCAAAGATGGTGAGAGAATGCCAACTGGCCAATGGACAGTCCCGCAGGAAGCAAATCAAAGAGACGCCTAGAGCACCAATGGAGATCCAGTAAATCCGAATCGAACCGAGCACTTTTAACATCTTGCATCAGAGAGTACATCCGGGCAATCAGGACGTCAAAGAGAACTCACATTGCCTCTCTGATTGCTTCCGCTGAGTCGCGCCCAGCCGCCCTGTTCAGGATAACCCGTTCCCTCCTAAATAGGAGGGATACGGATGATCCTTTGCAGTGCAGGGCTGAGGATTACGTCCAATTCCTCGTGGATAAAGTTGCTCGGTTTCGGGCGGACCTGGACTCCAATCCTGCAGAACCAGCCGAGGCACTAAGGGATAATTAGTGCCAAGGTGGCGCAGTGGTT